CATTACTTCAACTAGTCCCCATGTTCCTCGAATGGATCTCTTAGTTGTTCAGAAGGTTGCCCAAAATCTAAACTCGAAGAGAATTTGAATATTATTCTTTTCAATATTAAATTGAAATCTTAACAAATAATTTTCAAATTTAATCCAGTACACATTTAAAAAAAAAAACAAAAAAAAAAAAACAGGTAACCTGTAAGACCAATTATCGGAAAAAGGGTTAAAAAAACCCTTGACTTAAATAATCCAAACATTTCATGATTCAAGCTCATTTCTCTTTTGTTATAGGCGGATCACACATTTTTTCAATAATATCCAAGATCTCATTTTTCTTATCAATTTTTGTCGATAATCATGCCATTTTCTTCATTTTTTCGGGCGAGATATTCCGGTCAAATTCTAATTTTTTTCAAAAAATAGAAAATTTCAAACACAATAGAGATATAACATCAAAATCATTTCGATTTTACAATCCCGTTTCTAAATCATAGTCAAAAAGTGCAAATGATCCGATTACATAACAGATCTCTCAAGTTATGTAATCTTTTGTTTTGTTTTAAGGTTGTCGTTCCTATTTGGCTAAAATGCTTTAATGAATCATAAGAAAATGGTTCAGTCGGGTAATTATAGTACGGATCTATCAAGACCTGTAATCTTTGTTAATAATTTATGATTTTTTATTTTTCTATAAAACTGTGTTTTCAATTAATTTCAGAAGTCGATTTGATATTTTTTGTTTGATTTTTAGTTTTCATCCGTGATTTGCTAACATACTTCAATGAATCATAAGAAAATGGTTCAATATGGCGATTATAGTACGGATCTATCAAGATCTGTAATGTTTGTTGAGAATATATGAATTTTTTTTTTTTTTAAAAAAAAAAACATGTTTTCAGTTGATTTCAGAAGTAGATCATATATAAAATCTTATCTTAGTGTTTGTTTTGTCATTTTCTGTTCGTTCTATTTTTGTTAGTGTTTTTCGTGTCCATTTATTTTAATGTTTCCCCATTCTAGGTGTTTCTCGGTTCTTGGTCCATTTTGAGTCTTGTCGTGTTTTTCCTTTGTTTTGTTCGTTTTTGATCTTTTTGTTTGTTTTTCCCAATTTTCTGCGTTTCTCTTGTTGGTGGCAATATGCAGGTTAGGTGGCTCGGTAAGCAGCCGTGAGGTGATCGTTGTCTAAGAGTTGGGATCGAGTTGAGAAGGAAAAGGCGGAACTAGATCCGGAGTCCGGAGGTATGCGTGTGGGGCCGACGAACTTCTGAGCAGAAATTTCTTCACCGCGGCCCGCGATGGTCTTCCCGCGGCCGCGGTATACAAAAACTCCTCCAGCACCAATTTTCTTCGTCGCGGCCGCGAGCACAACGAGGCCCCTGAATCCCGACTTCAGAGCTGAAATATCGCGGCCGCGGGAGATGTCGCGGCCACGAAGCTGTTCTTCGCCGTGGCCCGCGAGCTTCTCCGCGGCCGCGGGAGACGCGATTTTCAGATTTTAAAGTAGCAGTTTTTTTTAAGAACGGGGATTATTATGTTATGTTCTAGAATTTGAATGTTCTTCGTATTTTCACTCAAAAACTCATACTTTCACTTAGTTTGATCTTCGTATTCGATCTTGGAGAGAAAAACTCTGAGATTCGACTTTTGGATTCGGTTTATTCGTGTTTTCGACATTGGATCGTAAGCTTTCATTTCGTTTTCCTATTGATTGAATGGCTTCGATTATTGTATTTGTTGATGTTGAATGCATTATGAGTAGCTAAATTCATTAGCTAGGGTTAGGGGATTATCGTTCCGGTTCGATTTCGTTTATGTGCATGATTAATTGCTCAATCTTTACGAGTTGTGCTTAACCTAGGGTTTTAGATGATTGATCACCATCTTAATCTAATTAATCGATCTTAGAACCGAAAGGGGAGAGATCGTTCGAACTAGGCTCGTGGAGAATAAGCTTGTTCGTTATGGTATTGCTTATGTGTTAGTTGTTTCAAGAACTATTCGTTTACGTCTATCCTCTTGTTACGAAGAGTTATTGAGGATAGACCTCTAGATGAATAGTTCGTCGAGTCATTTAACCGAGCTCTTGATTGCTCGCTAAATGCATTGAGAACCGAAAGCGATTGTCCCCGATACCCTAGCCTCTTTATTCATTGTTGGAATTCGTGTTTTGAGTTTTGAGTTGAGAATTTCTAGTCTTATTTTCATTATTCGTAGTTGATAAATCAAACCCAAAATCGTGAATTAGAATGTTTAGGAATTTCTTTTCTCTTTTCTTGTGATTGAATATCCGTACAAATAATCCGGCCAACCTTCCTTCAGAGACGACCCGGTGTTCGAATCTTTAGATTTGACTTCGGTAAAAATACTTACAACATTTTCTTTCAAAAAATTTGAAATATCAATACAATTTGATTTTTTTTGTCAAAACATAGATTTGTTTTTGCAAAAATGAATGGATCTTGTTATATTTAATGACGTTCTTACGATTTTCTGAAAAGTATTCATGTTGTTCAGTTACAATAGTCAATCTGCATATAAATATGAGTCATATGTCTGGGTTTTCAAATGAAAAAATAAAAGATCTTTAAGTACATCTAATTTCTACCGCAAATTTGTTAAAAAAAAAGGTTTTACTACTCGTTTAAGTTGATTATTAGATATTTTACTTTAATTTTAAGGACTTGTGATTGCACAGAGGTTAAAACAATTGTCAAAAAAGTAAAAAATAATAAATAAAGCAACAAAAAAATAAATTAAAAATATTATTCTTGAATTTTGTAGGGAATAAATGGAAAGAAAAATTACAACAAAAACCACGACACATCAGGCCAACCAAATAACAAAAAAAAAAGCAAAAAAGTTCATCGAGATCATATTTTTTTTTTTCAGCTAAGCATGTAAATAAAAGTGAAATTATTTTAACCAATATAAATAACAAATAAGAAAAAAGGGTAATATATTTATATATATATATTCTCAAACTTTCTGATTAAATAAGAGAAATGGTAATTACAGCAAAATCCATGACTCATATGGGCATAGTTTTTCAACCCGTACCGCCCCGCCAGGTCAACCCGAGACTCGGTCGACTCGGAGCCGGAACCGAAATCGGTCCGGGGGCTATTTGGACCGGACAACAAAGGACCCGGTCAAACCCAGCCGACCCGGCCTTGACCCGGTCGACCCGAAGCATTGACTTGACTGGGTCAACCCAGTTGACCCGCTCCCTATATATATTTATTATTTTATTTTATTTTTCGAAGTATTCTTTATTTAAAAAAAAAACTATGTATATATATTTATATAGTAAATATTTCTCATGAGATACATATTATTAACACTTTAATGTACAAATTTTGTATACACATTTAATTTTGTTAATTTTATGTATATTTATATGACAAAATACTTTATATATAATATTAAAAAAATTTAAAATTAATTATCCAGTTCAGCAATTGAGTCGTTGAGCCGGCGATTGAACCGGTGACCTGGTGACCCGAAAACCTGCTCGGGTCAATTTCCGTGCCGTGTTTAAAAACTATGCATAAGAGATAATGTAATTAAATGCACGATAATAAAATTAAATAAGAAAAATGGTAACTGCTTTAGGCGGGAATTGAAAACTAATAAAATTAAATGCTGAAACTTTTGACGGGATAATTTAATTAAATGCAGGTTAATAAAATTAAATGATGTGTTGCTCCAACTTATATATGTATAGATAGATTCCATAGTCTTTTTGCAATATTGTAGGAATATATGTAAATATATATGTTCAATTATGTACATGCTCAAATAATTTTTCCATCTAGTCCTTTTGCAATATTTTAAGAATATATATGTCAAGTTACGTAGATGTTCAAATTTTTGCAATATTTTAAGAATCAATACAGCATATGTGTATGTGAGCCTATCTCAAACCCAGTTCTATGTCCGAGCTTTTTTGACTAGTGTTTAAAGTCTAAGCCTGCAAGGGCCCGTTTATCATCTGTAAAAGTGACTGGCGGTGCTCAAAGAGAACAGATCAAAATTCAAATTCTACCACTCTTGGGAGCTTGAACACATGAAAACCTCTCAACTATAAAAACTTCAATATGGAGATGTATGTCGATTACAGAGCAAAAGCCACACTATATGTGATGTGAACTCATCCATCTTTCGGTAAAAAATTTTTTACAAATGTAATTTATTACGCAAATTAACCTCTGAAAAGGCTCTCCTTGTACTATAGACCCAAAAACATGTACTCTTACTTTGCCCGAGTAAGTTCTTCCGCAGATTATGCAGCAAAAGCTTACATCAATGCAGCCAACCCGATAGCATTACCTTCATCAACATTGGATTCGGGAGAAGCACCCGAATGACGTGACCTTGCTGAAAAAGTACATTGGTGTCAACAGGATTGACTGATAAAAAGCTTTAAATGGTCTGGTTTAGTCTCTACCATGAGTAATTTCATTATTAACAAGAATTTCTTTGTAAATATATTTTGCTTTTTTTTAGTAACTGAGCTACGATTAGCTTTTACGAAATGTAAACTTTGACATGCGCGAATCATTACTCCAACAAAAATTATCAGAATAGAGAACGGATTACATTGGGAAACCAAATAATCAAATACGACTAGAGCCAGACGTGTTCTATCAGCATTCCAAAGCACAATTTCACAACCAAAAGTAAGTTATTATAATGCACAATATGTTAAGAACCAGAAAACTTACTGAGCTGTTTGTAGGGTATAGAAAAAAAACCACGTCTTTGTGAGAGGACTGTTATAATGAACTTCTATCAACCAAAACTTTACCAACGAAACCAGAATAGCTATAGTTTATCGAGCATATCAAAATTTCTTTGTTTTACTATTTTATATTTGTCCTTCAGTTCTGCTCTATCGCCACAAATAAGTGCACACTATTTAGCATGCAGATCACTTACTAGTGACATTTGTAATGACATTTACGCCTTTCTGAGTCGCAAGCGCCTTCAACTTGTCCCCAGTCGCCATTATCAAAAGACTCTTCATGTGCTGCTTTTGCTCCTTAGGGCTACCTGTCTTGGATAAGGCTTCTTCGAAAGCAAGTAGATCTTGGAGGGTAATACGTGGAAGAGAAAGCAGAATCTGAACAACAAAAAATGGAACATCCGCATCTTATAAGCTGCTTAGAATTTTACCCATTAGCAGGCAAAGTTCATTTATCTCGCTTTTAAGTGTACAGTAATACAACAGGAAGTTTTACTGACCTGCCTCGGCGATGGGTGTCTACCGGATAGGTACACAAAGATCTCACGACAGAAGCCAACTAAATCAGCACTTACGAAGGCATTTGATTCGAGAGTCAGGCCTTGGATAGTAGCAGAAAAGAGATCTTTGCACACAAATTCTCTAAGCTCCAAATTATTTGTTGAAATTGCAAGGAGAACTACTAATCCACAGAAAGGAGATACTTTAGACATGGCATCACCATCTGTCCAATGAAATGCTTCAATACACATCTTCAGGACTGGAACAGCAAGGTTTTTCTTACTGAGTACAAATCTGTGGAAAAAAAAGGTACAACTGACATGAGGCATCTGTCTTACACAATAACACTAACCATAAACAAGTTAATCATGAAAAACATTTAGGGTGCAACTGGAATGATCTCATTTTGAGATTTTTATTGTTTGATATTTTTTAATATATTTCTAAGGTCATAATGTTCGTGTACTCACTTTTTCTCTCACAAATCAGTTTGCCTCATTTTTAAAATAATCATATCACCAATCATTATCACACATTTCCCTTTCATCATCCACCTACACACATAAGTCTAACCGCTAATCATTACTTTATTATTTTTATATCAAATCAACAATTCAACCTTAGTCATTACACTTTCATCTTATTTCCATTCACGTATATTGTCAACAGAATTATTCCCAAATGAAAAATAGCAAACTGAAATGGTATCAATTGGTTTCAAGCAGAACATACCCAACCATAGAACTTCCAGCAAATGCATTCAAGTCTGTCCTAGAAGAATCATCACTGTTGCTGATTTGACTTGCCTGCTCCAGTGAAGGAAGCACGCTATTAAGTCCCGGAGAAGCAATAACAGATAACAGAGAACATGTCTCCCTGGTTAGATCCCTAAGAAGCTTTTCCTCCATAACCTCCACCTTCAGATCCGATCCAGCAAGTATCCCATGCAAGTCGGGAACTTTAGCTTTTCCTTCTTGTAAGAGACTAGACCATGAACAGCAAAGAGCCTCAGACACATGGAGAAGTAATGGATGCAGGAGTTTTTCTAGCCAAACCTCCCACAGGTCCGGGGGACAGTACTTAAGAAATGGAACAATGGCTGAGTGTATCAGCTGCTTTATATGCCTAAACTCCATATACTGTATGTTTTCCATCAATGCTAACATAACCGAATGGGGGTCCACAGATCGGAAAAGGGAGTCTCCAAGTGTCGCGGATAAACCTAATATGCTATACCTGGAGCAAAAAAAATTGAATTAGAGGTGTCTTCAACATTCATCTGACAAATTACAAACCATTCCATGTTCGGCTGTTTGCAACAAGAACCACAACAGCTAATGAAAATTTGATGGTTTAAGAACATTTAATTTAATTGTCTGTATGAGACTTATTTAGGAAACAGAGACGTGATCAGCTGGGGGAAAAAGGCCATGTTTCTCCCACATTAAAATTTAGAAACATTGTAACTCACTACAAGAAAGCTTTAGCGGATGATCGAGAACTGATAAATCTAAGTTATACTATCATATAAAGAATTGCGTACCCACTCTCTCGAATTCCTCTTAACCAGTTTCGTATATCTGTTTCACTGGACTCTGAATAAGCTTCCTTATTGACTTCTAATCGAGATCCATCTTTAAAAGTTAACGCAGCTTTTTGGAATTTATGCTGGCCCTCTCCAAGAAGACTGGTCATTTCAACGTTGCACATAATCATTGCTGCCCTCATTTCTTCCGGAAGAGCCTGAGTGACCGACGGGGACCACAGAGAATGTATTGCACGAAGCAACTGAGAATTGAACAATCAGTACTTGGGTCCACACCGATAATGGTCAAATGCAAGGGATGCTTGGATGTAAAATATTTTGATTTTGTTTGGATTTTTTGGTTTGGTCTGGTTAATTTTGAAAAAAGTGGTATGATTAGTTGTTGGTGGAATTTTGAGTTTATATTAAAAATATATTTAAAATAAAATAATTAAAGTTGATGTGATGTAAAAGTAGGAGAGATGATGTGTAGTGATGGTTAATTAAAATTATATGAGTAGATGAATAGTGAATTAAAGTTAATGTAATCGTTAGAATGATTGAGTGGCATTATTTAATTATATTAATAACATTGAGTATAGTGTGGTTGACTTAAAGTTGAGTTAAAAAAAGTGACTGGTTAAAAATGATTGAATTTTTTTTGAAAAAAAATTGTACCCAAGCATCCCCAAAAGGACTACATCAACTGGAAAATCAGAAAAGATATTCCAAGCATAAATCCTCACTTTTACAAGAGGTGGCAGCATCCATGAGAGATGGGAAACCATCGGGTGCTCAGCAGAAGTATTAGTTTTCAAATTGTTTCCTGAACTCAAACCACCCTTTCGAAAACCACTCCTCTTAAGTGCCTTCTCGAAGAATGTTACTGTGTGAAATATTGACCACATAAACTTCGTCTCAGCGCAAAGCCGAACTAAGCTGGCCGGGTCAGTCAAGTATGCTGCTTGCCATTCTGGTTGAGTCCATTGTTTACTCAAAGGCTCAAGCAACCAGAGCAAAACTTCTTGTTGTTGTTGAGCCCTAAACAAGTTAACAAATTCAACGATGACTTAGATTACAAAAAATTCCACAAGGGAATAGCCAAATTCTTTCTCGTTACGATCTACCAATTACCCGGCAGAAGAAGCCATAATAAGGAAAGCTTCTCCAAGAATATTTTGCTCTGCACGTAGTAAAACACCCTCAGTTTGCAGGTACGACATAGTACTAGCAATTCCCTGTCAAAAATATTAATTTAACTTAAAAGATTGCTTAATCATAACAAATTTTTAACAATAAATATTTATGTGGTGAATTGGGCCAAGTTGCAGACAGTTACTTTAATTCTCAAAACACATTTAACTAGTAAGAAACTGAGATTGCATATTAAAAGAAGTGCATAAGTAGCCTAGGATAATTTTGAAGCAACAAATCAGTAAACTGGATTTCAATGTCTCCAGCTCTTTCATAGGAATAATAAATCCCTAGAGAATAATTTGTTGAAAGCCCACAGAATTTCAGTTGACAATAATCTCAACCTCCTAAAATCAGCATAATTGAATAACTCCCTAAAAAGATGCACTAAACCTGGCATAGTCCGTTGCTAGATAAGCGTAACAGCTATGAAACTGGTCGACAAAGCAGTTAATATACATTACACACTGTTTATTCTACTAATTTTCAATCTGGAGGTTCTAGAATCTACATTATATCTTTAAAATTAGCCCTGGCTCATGATATTTTAGCTCCAAAAATTCCTTGTTCCTGAACAGATTACTTACATCATTTTCATTAAGTTATAGAGAAAGCACCCATAAACCGAGTTTTCTCTGTAGTTTTCTTTTTATGATGGTCAAAGTTCTACAGGAGACACCAAGTACTAGCCTATGAGTATCCATGTGTGTGTGCGTGTGTGTGTCATCAAATGAATTGAACCAATCATGGTAGAACGATATATGTCATTTATTCTAGGATTACTAGGATGAGCGAAGGACTCTTAACTTTTAAGTAAACAATTCATATATTAATAAATAGAAATTGAAGCAGCAGATAAGACATCATTGTTTTCAGCAGAGGCCATACTTCCATTTTTTCCTAGTCACTTTTTCAATCTTCTTCTAGAACTAATCATACTGAAATATTACCTTCATGTGAGGCAAGAGGCTTTCATTGGCAGCCTTAGCAAGTCGAATGAAGGATGTACATATCTGCAACCTTGCACGCCGAGCAGTACTTGTTGAAGGATCCTGCAGAAGTTGATTGGCTTTTAGCAAGTGTCATGAGACTATTGCAAATATTATTTTAAACTAAAAAGGACAATATGACAACCTTAACCATGAAAGGTAGGGACGTCAGTAGTTCGAATAATTTATTGACAACGCTGCCAACAGCATCTGGGTAGTACCTCAGGAACGGACCCATTGCCTCTAAATAGTGACCAAGAACTTCCACCAGTAAAGGTTCAGTCCATTTCAATGACATAAACTGTTGAAGCAGACCTTCAGTTGAAGTAACCAGATCAGTAGAATGTTAAGATCTAATAGAAGATACATGTATATGAATTTCAGTCATCAAACCTTCCAATGTTCGATGTAAAGGAATCTGATATTCAGAGCTTTTCTTGCTATATTCATTTGATTCATCAAATATAGAGCCCACAATATTTTCTAAAGCCAAATGCATGCTTTCTATCATGGCCAAATCCTGGATTTCCAAAGTCAGGAGCAACAGGAACAGATTAGCTTGTGAACAAACAAAAATGTAAGTGTAGGGCGTGCAAGAATATGTCAATCAAAAGAGATAAATTAATGTGCAAATACTTACTTGAGTGGGGTTGTGTACAAGCGTAAGGGGCCTTATCACTTCAGTAACTTTCTCAGAAACTTTAGCAGCAGCTAGAAGGGGCTTGTCAGACGCTATGAAACGGATTAATTCTAACTGCATTGCCAAACAGATATTTTCAGGCGTCTTCAAATACACAATCTTAGCTAATTTACTTCTACTTGGCAAAGATACCCTCCCGACTACTGAGAACCTACTGCACTGTCAGTTAATTTACTTCTATTTGGCCTTATAATCCCTCCATAATATATAATAACAAAGATACTCTCCCGACTCCTGGGAAAAATGGAAAGACTGGATCATCCTCGCATTAACATTGAACTTCATACCTTTGTAGATGAATATTCTTACATGCATATAACTTGGAGCCTTTCATTCACTCCCTCTTTCCCTTATTCTATTTATCTTCAGACATATACATAAGAAGACATATCGACAAATACATCATCAAAACACAGGTATATACATATATTTGATACTGAAGAGTTAGTGGTATGCAGGTGATTGTTGGGGTGTCTTTGAGGATGTGGAGCGCAGGAAGAATTTGTGATGTTAAAAGTTATTTAAGATATTAGTTACTACTGTATGTAAACACTATTCCTGTGTTGATTAAATAAAATGGTTAATTACATAACATAGCATCCATTATTTGAGGACTTAAAATTAAAATCAATTATTTCAGTATGTTAACAGGTCAAGACAAGAAATATACCAAGGACGGATGTATAAGTATCAAATATCCATTAAACAACCAACCACTCCCTTAAAATAAACGCCAACAAGAATAATTCACAAGAAAATAACCATACATACAACATGAAATCAACAAAAATGGTGTGTATCTATCTCTGCACCATCAAGACTCAATTTTGTTCAATATCATGTCATCAAGAATCATCTTGACGAACAGATGCTCTTGCCGCAAGAGTCAAGTAACAAAATCAGGCAGTAGTAACTGGAACTTATTTCGAGTGCCATTTTTGTGTTGCAAGAACTCCTAAAATCATGATAGGGACTATCCAATAGAAATTCATATACACATCGAAAGTCAAGCATACCAGTCGTGAGCGATAGTAACTGAAGTCAGTTTTGCTGTCAAATTCATCACTCCACAGCTCCAGCGTTCCAACAGTTGGTGCCATCCCAGAACGAATTTTTTCTTTCTTCACCATGCGTTGGAAGGACGCGTCCAATAGGGCACTGCAAATATCATCAGTTACTAAAGCTATGACATTTATCCTCTCATTGTCAGCCTGCCGAGAACCCCTGTTGGAGTCATCAGTTGGAACAGTCTTGGATTTGGACATTAGGTCACGCATCAGTGACTGTCAGAGCAAGAAACACAACCATCAACCAAAAATGCTAAGGACTCCAATATCCATCACCAAGAGGTACTCTGAAATTATACCAGCCAAAAAAGCAGAGATTGGTAGTGAAGTGTGAACTTTGCATGTTGAAAAAACCCCAGCATCTGAAAATTTGACAAATGAGAATAAGGAACCGAGCTAACGGTTTTTACACAAGTTTCCAGAATTCAATGAAGCAACAACAGACACCATATAGTTTCTAGCTATTTATAGAGATATTTCTCACTTATGGACCCAGTGAATGAATATAGCATTCAACAATTTTTCTCACAGGTCAACACAACCACTCTTTAAACCTAGAGGAATTCTCCGTGGTAAAGTAAGAAACATACACACACATACACACACAAAAAAAGAAAGAAAAAAAAAAAGAAACTGTCACTTAATACATCAAGAGGTAAGTCACTCCACAAGTAGGTGGAGCATTAACCATTACTAGGAGTATTAAAAAACTAGTCTACTAATACTCCTTAACAACAATACTATTAATGTTTAACACTACAATCCCCAAGTCATTATTCCTAAAGAGATTTGGCTTTTAACATAACTCCATGCATCAAGAAAGCAATAAAGTTTACAAAACAATCGGACCTGTTGAAGGTAAAATGAGAAAACTGTGGTATCAGCTGCAATACATTGCAAGTTCGTAGAACCTAATGAAACCAAACATTCACAAATATATTCTGCAAACTCGAGGTCACTCTCACTGGTGCCAGCACCAGAGGTGGATTTGTTAAAAAAATCTCTGGCGAAGTTCATTAAGATCTCGAAGACATTTCTCATAGCAGAATCAAACTCAGAAGCATCATCAGTTGGCCTTTTCCTACATGATAAATTCACAGCAATATTAATCATAAACCAGTTCTACCAAGACTTCCAGTATCTTCAACCAAATTACATAGAATTATCAATAGATAGACAAACTAACTACCTTTGAGTCACAAGTTTGAAAAATTCGCAAGCATGAAGACGAAAATCAGGAGAAGTGAGTAAGAATCCGCAGCTGTTCACCATAGACATGCAACAGAAATTAATCTATTAGACGATTCAAAAAATCACTAGTAGAGGATGGAGTGAGTCATACCCATATATGATTCCATATTTTGCAAGATGAGGTAATGGAGCCCACTCCGCATACGCATTAACGGCATTAACAGCAGCAGTTACTGCCACTGCATGCCGTTTTGCAATGTCCATCTGCTGTTTACCCGCTTCGGTAATTGCAGCTCGATAGTGCCTCTCCAGCAACTAAGCAATAAAGTTAGAGCAAGAAAAATATGGACTAAAATATAACCAAAATAGTGGCAGTTAAAAACTTACTGTGTACAGAAGAGGAAAAATTTCTGACAAGGACTGAGTAAGCCCACGTAATAAAATCCTACGCCTGTCACCTAATCATGGAAATCTCTCTTCACATTAACCATAAGAGTAAAACTTTCAATGACAATTCGTCACTCCAACAATTCAATTAAACAGTATCCGAGAATCTGACAAGAATAAACAGAAAGAAGATCTAAAAAAGAAACATAATATTGAGAATCTAGTTTACTAGGATGAACGTTTCATGTGTGCCATTACGAACCTTCTAAATCCTCATTATGGACAGTAATATCTTCTGGAAGCCATCGGAGTACCATCGATACCAGCTCCGCCTGACAAGTTTAAGATTTTATCAACCATATGTATGGTTCCAAGAACTAACCTTGACCTTTCTTGGGAATCAACAAATATTTTTTGTATTACAAAATGCCTATTATATACAACTACTTGTCTTCGAGCATATATATATACATACATATATATATATAAATATATATGCAATACACCTATTTATATATCTGCACACCATCTTATACATTTTAGTGTGGGTATTTTGATAAACTGAATAAACCGTACAAGCATCACAGTTTTCAACTCAAAACACATGAAAAAAGCAACAAAACACACCATAAATGTTGCTGGGTACCTGTATAGGACCCATGCTGGATAGAGTGGTTATAGATGGGAAAAGTTCTTGCCAAAGACTGGGACCTTCCCTCCTAACTATCTGAAAAGAAAAAAGGAGGAAGAGAGAAAGTGAGATATAAGATGAATCAGTACTAAGCGGTAAGCACTGACGTGGACACTTGTTTCTGGAAATAATCCAGTCAAAACAGTAACGAACCTCTGCAACAAGAGCAGCTGCCTGACTTTTCAAAGCCCATTCTTCACAAGGGTTCGCAATTTCAGAAATCAAATCAACAGCTAGCTTTGCAAAGTCTCTTCGTTCTACTGGGCTTAATTGGTCCCAGCGCAAACGTACTAGATGCTGAAATATAGACGAGAAATACAAATTTGACACATAATTCTACAAATTATTACCCATCTCCTCAGCTTGCATAAATCCTCTACTTTGATGAAATCATCAAAAAATGGAAGCATCGCGTATTACAGGTAGAAGGTGATGACTTGATAATAGGATTTTTCCTTGTCAGACAAACTTTGAAACACTTCATATACAAATGTGCAGAAGATTTCCAACACAAGGATTGACATAAAAAAAATCAAACTAGTATGTTTTTCAATTAACTAAAATTCTGCTATCCACATTTCGGAACAAGTCATTATTACAATTAAAAGACAGCTCATCACATTTAATAAAACATGAAACTCCAAGAATGATGTCTTCTTACTGGCCTCCACAAGGAAAAGAAAACTGAATGATATAGCATTTAAAAGCTATTAAAATTATCTAAAAACTAAAAGAAAATTTCAAAACAAGCATTTCTCATGAAAAAAGAAACTAAACCTGAATGACCCTTTATGTACCTGGAGCATTTTAAAAGCATGCAACCGAATTTCAGACGGCCAATCTCTCTTAACCAATAGAAACGAGGTGTTCGCCAATACACGCGTATCCCCGGCTTTTATCTGAAACAATTAAGTAGCACAGTGACTAGAAAACCCTATCAGATATCCAAAGCAACTGATGTAAACATGATCACAGTCTGAATAATAGAATTCTAAATTATACCAGAGGAAAATTGTCACAGAAACTGAAAATATGGCAATTGTTATCTTCATTATTAAAAATTCATACCACATGCTTTAATTACAAGCAATAAACATGAGATCGATCAGTGAAAATTGTCAATTAAGGCACCAAAAAAAAAATAAAATAAAATAAAATAAAAATGCATTTGAATTACCAAAATCGGGGCCTCAACATAGAGTGGAAACTTACTGTGTCTAAGTAAGCGTATGCCGCAGCTCGAGCATCGGGTGATGAGGTCCAATCTAGGGCAGCAGCTATGGCTCGCGCTACATTGGCTGCGATGCCACTATCGTCCATAACTTTCTTCTTCGACTATCAGCAGCTTTCACGGAGACGGGGCAACGGCGGTTGATATAAGTACAAGAACAACGGAGAGCTTATTTTCAAATGGCGAGGAAGATGGAGAAAGGTTTTGAAACTGAAAGACCGTCGAGAAAAGATTTATTAATCTAATACTTATATAAAAAACTAGTATTGACCCTTTGCGTTTGCACAAATATAAATAATATATTGTGAATTATTTATATGCATATAATGATTAATTATTTTTCTTTCATCTTTTTGCTGGCCTAATTTACAATTATAGGAATTGAAATATTTTATTGGAGTTTTATCAATACAAGGCCTGAAAGATGGGTAAACTATCAATGCGGGGCCTGAAAGATTTTTTTTTCAATTTGGGACCTAAATGTTATAAAACTATCAAATTAGAGACCCGAAAGATGGGTAAACTATCAATACGGGGCTTGAAAGATTATTTTACTCAATTCGGGACTTAAATGTTATAAAACTATCAAATTAAGTGTAGAATTAAAAAAAAAACTCATAACACAATTAAATCTAAAGTTTAAAAAAAATAATATTTAATTATTATATTTTATTTTCATATTCATTCACATTTTTTAAAATTTTGTATTCTTCCATCAATTTTTCTAGTCTTTAACTCACTTTTTCATTCAAACATTTTTACATAATTTATAACCATTCGTACTCTTGAGTGTTTATAATATTATTATCCTCATAAATATTTGTGTTTGTTGTTAAAAAGAATAAAAAAAATAATTATATTAAGTAAATAATTAATATGATTTTTATATTTAAATTGACTTTTATGCTTATTGAAATTTCATTCATATGCATTGATAGTTTAAAAATGGGAATGAATATGAAATAAAATCTAATAATTAAATATTATTTTTTTTAAAAAAAAATTTAATCACCAATCTTTTATTTTTTTATTTTAACTCTAAATTTAATGGTGTTTTGAGTTTTGTTAATTCTAGACTTAATTTGATAGTTTTATAACATTTAAGTCCTGAATTGAGAAAAAAAATCTTTCAGGCCCCGCATTGATAGTTTACCCATCTTTCGGGTCTTTAATTTGATAGTTTTATAACATTTAGGTCCCGAATTGAGAAAAAAAATATTTCAGGCCCCGCATTGATAGTTTACCAATCTTTCAGGGCTTGTATTGATAAAACTCCTATTTTATTTTAAAAATTGCGGTTATCTGATTGGATTTAATGTATATTTTAGTACGTCTTTTTTGTGAATTATTTATTATTTATTTAGAAATTTCGAATATACTTTTTATTTAAAAAATAATAATTTAAATACAACCATAATAATAACATCTAATCACATTATACAATCAACACATTATATGGTCAACTGTCAGAAATCAAAAGTTTAAAATAATTTTTATAATTGGAAGTGATTAGTGTCAATTATTTAATAATTAAATGAAAAATTAAATACATCAAAAGTAACGGTTTTTGGAGGAAAAATGTTGAATTGCCACGTAGGTAAAATTAAATAGGTTTTATTAAATGTTATTAGCTAGTAATTATATATATAGATTATCTCATTTATTAGAATGAGTAGAAAAAAAAAGTTAATTAATAATTAATTGTACATCATATTTACAAAGTTTTTAGATTTTTTAAATCACAAATAAAATAGCATTAAATACCCCTAAAATTATGGGTTTTATTGAATTCATTTTTAATAAAATCTACATCCAAATTTACATATGGTTTTGAAGTGAAAATTTAAAATTCAAAATCTCTTTCTCATTTTAGTTACAATAAAATCGGGTTGCATTCAACACTTGGATCAATTTAAAAATTATTCCATAAATAAAGGAATTTATAGATAATTGTCATCTCTACTCAATCACATAATTATTTTCAATATAAAAAGAGACAAATTATAAAGTAGGGAATCATATATTACTTAATTCAATATCTTAACATTAAAGAATAAATTCATAGTATTATGTAAATTCGTATCTCATATTATTATATCATTAAGAATATATTATAGTTATATTATCAAATCATAAAAAGATATTCAATCCATATTGTAAAAAAAAAATAATTCATATAATTTTATAACAATTCTACTATACTATTTAACAATATTATTTTTTATTATATAATAAAATAATATTTAATATTATATGGTAAACAAGAATAAGTAAAATTGTTACTTTCTATTATATCAAGGGATAAATTTATATGCTAAAATTAAATTTTTATTAGTATAAATGTTTTAGTGAGATAATATATTAATTATTTTACAAGCTAGCCCTAAAATACTCATTTAATGTTCTGGCTAAAAATACAATGCTGGTTAAAAAATGTGAAAAAAAGCTTATAACACTATTGTTTTTTAGACTTAACGTTAATTAAAAGAGGTAGAAAATAGATAATAACCCTATTATTTTTTAGACTAAGCGGACAAGATTGTGAAAATGACTCATTTAATATATATTTTGTCTCGTGCATCGCACGGGGTACGTACTAGACTCTAGGAAAACAACATTTTTAAAATATTAAATTTGTAAAATAGCACAAAATAAAGTTAATTATACATGGCTAAAAGTGAGATTACACTATCACCAAGAGAGATTATCAATTTCCAGCAAGACAATGTAGAAAATAAGGACATTGGAGTTACAAATTTTATAGTACATTATTAGTGCAAGAATCCTCATCTTCATAATTTTAACTACACTTGTATAATGCATGTGTACTACACGGTGTTGAGTTAAGAAATATATGATAAAAGTTATTGCTAATTTTTTTTATTTAAAAATTTTGATGCATTAATTGATGAAAATAATAATAATAATAAAAAAAAGCGGAATAGACAAAGCCGAAAGTAATTTGAAAAAATCGTACTTTAGGAGATAAAATGGTAAGATTGTTACTTCCCAAAACTAAGAAGAAATGTGTAGTAAGAGAAAAAAAATAACAAAATTAAATATACACTTACCAAGTTTGAATAAAGTAATTTATGTCTAATACCAAGTCTAACTCCATAGCAAAAATGAATATATAAACAATATTACAAAGTATAGATTTTCGCCATGTCAGCATCCGAAGCGTGAGAAAACCACTTAGCCTCAACATATTTTGAATTAATATATGAGAGGAATTATACTACTATAATTTCCCATCGTATATAAATCGTCACATAGCACCCATACTAGATCGTGCGGACATATTAATGTGAGTAGTGATATAACACTCAAAAATAGCTTAGTAGACCGGTCTGAGCAAGTAGCTCGATTAAGGCCAGGCTGCTAGATCTCCAGTATATATAGAGGTAAGATGCTCGGTTAAGTAACTCGTATATGGGCTTAAGGTGTCGAGCTACCAGAAAATACATGTCCGGGAAGTGCCAACCTCCAGGAGCGACAAAGTAACCGACCTCGAGGTATCGAGGCCGGGTGGTCTGAGGACAGGTTAGAACTAAGGATGAGATCGAACTAGACCTCGAGATAAGGTCAGGTTTGCTCTCGTAGAGGCCAGGGCAGACTGGTCAAGAGGTTGGAGTCACGACCTAAGGACCAACGAGCTAAAACAGTAAAGGGGTGAAGAATCCTAGTAGTAATGAAAGAATCGCTCGCTCAAGGACTCTTACCAAGATAGAGACGTGGTAAGTTATGAAAGTAAGATCTGGTTGGATCTATTCCCTAACAAGAACTCTTTTCGGCCCCAAGGAATCAACACTATATAAGAGCGACATGTTCTATTTCATCCATAACTACATTCTATTCTTTACATACATTCTATTATCAGTACAGTTTGAGAGAGTTCAGACTTATGCGTCAGAGAGTTTTCGGCGGGACCCCCTCCCAACGTATTGCAGGTCGTTGGAGCTCACGGACGAGGATTGCTCGAAGGCATAGGCATGCAAAACCGTCTATAATTTAAAGTGACGTAACAAATTGGCGTTATCTGTGAAGAGTCTCGGTCTTTTCCTGGATATATAAGGGATTTACAGTATTATCATAACCTAAAGATTAAAAGAAAAAAAAATAAAAAAAAAAATAAAACCACATGGATCCATGAAAACAACAGCTTAAACAAAAAAGATACAAACAATCACCCATTTGGCAAAAATACCGTTGAAACCCATTCTCAGCAAGACCTGTTTGACACAATGCCATGCGATCATGTTATAAGTTTTTTCCATATCTAACTTAACAGCTAGACTACCCCTCCCTCCCAGACCTATGCCTATTCAAGAAGTGAACAACTCCTTGGACTACAATAACATTATCACGAAGTTGCCTTCCAGGAATGTAGGCGACTTGATTTTCACTTACACAAGAATGCAGACAGTTCTTCAGCCTATTTGATGTGCAGTTGCACCTCGAACCAGCTCTCCACAATTCCTCGACCGATTTGCTTCTCAGAGACATGCAAAGATGCCAGGAGATATTTTCGGCGTTGAACTTTTGACGATCAAGCCAGTAGGTGTTATGAAAAGTAGTATGGAAATACAAAAATATTGAAAGCTTATAATGTATAAAGTGTGAATTTACCTTCTCCAAATTGTACCTATTTATAGAAGATTATTGGCTACCTGAACAAACCTTTGTTCTGCCTAAAGGCACGTTTGATTGCCCCGACTGCAAAAAAGGGCTACCTGTCGGTTATTAGGTTACCCGTAGGTCTGCCCACAAGTTATTTGGTTCTATCTTCATACGTCAGATCATGTATCTCTTTTGTTTATGACCCTACACGTGTCCTTTGTTAACAACGTGGACTTGACCTACCGTGTTGATTGATCTATTTTCTAATCGAGCTAATTACCATGTTATCACGCCCGAGCTCTTATATGTCCGAGTTGTTGACAAGCCTTATTTACCCGAGCTCCCCAATATCGGCACTATAGTCATTCCTAAATTGACCGAGCTCCTTAATGTTCAAGCTATAGTCATTCCTAACTTTTTCGAACTTCTTAATGTCCGAGCTATAGATATACCTAAGTTGTCCGAGCTC